TTCTATAACCATCCTGCGCCGTCTATGTTTTTGGTCAAAATTGATATCGCCCAGCTAATTAATTACTGTACCTAGATCCTATGCAATGCAATGGACGGGACGACCACGGTCATCATATTTTATGCGTAACGATGGTGCGCGGCAAACATCTCAAGAGGACGCGTGTCGTTGCCGCTCATCGAATACGCAGACGGATACACAACAATAACCATTTTTGTTATAATACTTGATGAAATATAGCAAATTACAAAACAACACTGTTTACAAATAGGATAAAATTCAGTGTTATGGTTACACGATACCGGCCATTGGAGCGGGTGACTCCACCCCTGCGGGTATGCCGGGACTTAATTTTAAATCAGCGGCGTCGTTAATTGGGGAAGGGGGGGGACAAATGTCGTTTTTGACCTTCGTGTGCAAATAAAAAAATTAAAAAAAAAAAAAAAATTTGACAATTGTATACGATTATATCATACTAAATTAATTTTACAAAATTTTAAATTTTGATCGATTTGTCCGCCTTGTATAATTTCGATAACGGGCGCAAAGTACACGCAACCGTTTATACTATTATTTGGGTCAGTGATTTTCAATCTTATTTTGTTTCCCGTGTAAGAAGACCCTTTCAGAAATTGTTTAATAGAACTTGAATAATACGACATTATTACGTATTACACGATACTTATGATTTTTTTGCCCCCCCCCCCCCCTAACTATCACTCAATACCCCTTTGTGGGCCGCGACCACCGGGTTGAAAACCACTAATATAGGTGCCTAATATACCGAGAAAACAAAAATGTGTTAGTCTTAAATCGTTCGGAAAATTTAGCCCTACGGCCGTACCGTAATTTATCGTATCTACCTCGTAATAGTATATAAATTAGTATTGGAGCTAAAATGCACCGACGAGATATTTTTCGAGGCTTACCTAACCAAAAACGAGTGACGGGTACCGGAGGAAAGAATTTAATTTCATACTAATATAATTATACGGGGAAATTTATTCAATTACAATACCTATACAAATGAGTAATCGATAACGTATAGGTAACTGACGTACCTACCTATATCTTAGTTGATGTCATACTTATAAAGTTCCGGTCTCGGGGGAGTGGATTAAAAAAAAAAAAAAAAAATGATGATGAAACAGTATCATATAAAATACTAATATAATTATTATAAAACGCGTTCCACACGCCATTGCGGCAAAACGAATATTAAATTATTATAGCCTATAATAATATTAGGTATTATGTGCAAATGCGATAGGTAGGTCGGTAGGTAGGTATTGAAAATGTGCGCGACGGAAAAGAAAGCGTAATGGCACGCGAAAATTAAGTTTCTATACGTAGAAGAAGCGAAAAGAAAAAAAAAAAAAAACGTCGCACACACGAAAAATCGGCCAAAGCGTTAAGTATATTGTTCGGTCGAAAGTACCTATATTTGTAATTATAAAACGAGCCGAGTGTAAAACCGTATCGTATCGATTAAAATATTACGCGTAACCTATTATTATTTATTATTTATATTTCATTTTTGTTACAAAACGGCTGCGCCGTAGCTCAGAAAGGTATACGGATAAATTATCAACACGACAATGTGTAACGGCATCAGCTCGCTTTAACCCGTGGCGAATTTCGTAAGGGGGAAAATGCCCTGGGAGGTGAAATTTAAATGATTTTAGGCGGAAAAGTTTATAGAGGAAGGAGGAAACAAGGTCAGGGTAAGGGAAATAAAGAAATTGTTTAAGTGTGGATGTACCAATGTAAATGTCGAAAGTGGGTGGGGTGGTATTTTGTTTTTGGGCGTATAAATCATAGATGTGCCACGGACCGTAACAAAAAACGAACAGAAAACAACGTATAGGGTCGCCGTCGTTCATAGGCGTAGCGTGATGATGATTTTCCGTGGAGGTAGCAGCTGTAGCCCTAACAAAAAAAAAAAAAAGGGCTAAATACATATGCATAACCACTTGTGATTGCAATTGCCCTTACACGCACTCTTAAAATCGTTAGGTTATTTAGAGGTAAACGCAGGCTTTGGGAATCCGTACACCTCAAGGGGTCCCTTGACTTATTGATTTTTTATTAAGGGGCGAAATTAAAGCCAACCCTCCCCCACCCCATAACATTTTATACACACGGATTATAGGTATAATAATGTGTAAATATTAACATGTAAATATAAATAACACACTTTAATATTAATGTATATGTTAAAAGACAGATATAGTACATAATCTATACTGTGTAAAATAACTTGTCCCGACTGATTTATCATCGTTTAGCCCAAATTACTGGACGGATCGGGTTGAAATTTGGCGTACAAATAGCTATTATGACGTAGGCGTATCCGCTAAGAAAGGATTTTTGAAAATTCTACCCCTAAGGGAGTAAAATAGGAGTTCTTTTAGGTATGCCGGGTACGAATATCTATTTGCTTATTTATTGTTGTTTGTTTAAGGGTTTCCTTGGTGATACGGATTGATAATTTGGTTGTCACGGATAAGAAAACTGTTATAATTGTAATTTTTACTATTATTTACACTATTAAAATTTCACAACAGAACGCTGTTGGTCCGTCGAAGGTGGACTATCCGCTTCCCACCTAAACGTTATCATTCAATTCTAACACTGTCAAAACCGAAAATGAATATGGGTAAGAAAATAATAATACGAATTGGCACGGGACAGCTAGTGTACTATAAACGTGTCGACTTGTAATTCATTGTCTTTCAATAATTATAATAAAAGCTTATACGCCCTTTTTTTTTTTTTTTTTTTTTTTTTTTGCTTAACAATGCGTATAATAGTATTATCTATATTAATATTCCCTATGGATGTGAAGCTGTGCTGGCCCGTTTAATCCTCTGTCCTCGCTAGTTGTCGATCTGAATCATGTCACCAATCTAAATAATTTAAGTAAATCGCGCATGCGTAGTAGCAATATATAGCATTGAAACATCAACCGAGACGACAGCCGCGGTCTCTACCCCGTTTGATAGCAATATTGTGTATCGCGCTATCGCCACCGCCCACGGGAGCAGATAAACGATAAACTTTATATCGTTTATCTAACTCCGTGTGATATCTCAAACCAACCCATTTCTATACCAAGTTAATATAGAAGTCCGTGTCCTTGTTGCATATCCTAAGCACAGTCCACAGACAACAGAAAAAAACCCATAGATATATAGAATACATTTTTCCACATAATAACTGTGCCACGGACTAATACAATAACACTACCCGTGGTTAAAACGTAAAATACGATCAAGGAAATTCTAAATATTTTACTATCAAATCATTAAGTTCGAAAACGTACAGATAGGCGTTGTTGTGCAAGCGATACACTGAATTTAAAAAAAAATCAAATCCTTAGGGGCAGGGAGGGGGCGATCCACCCATCACACCCTCATAACCGCCACTGAGATAATGTAACGATATTCTATAAAACAAATATTGTAATTAGCACGACATGAAGTCAGATACTTCGCACGATGGATGGGCCACTGTTATCGGTCAGAAGTTGGAAAGGTAGAAGGAAAATTATATACAGGTATATCTGTAACCATTGTTAACGAAAAATGATTCTGAACGGAGATCTGTGGCTTTATCAAACAATATATATGTCTTATTATAGTTAAATATTTACATACATTTTATATGTTCTCTCTTATTAATATTTATTTGATATTATACCTCTTTTTCCGTTTTTCCCATTTGTTATGAAAACAGCTAGGAAAATCAAAAATTACCTCCTTAGAGTACCACGCCAGTCAGATTTCCTATAGCATAGCAAAAGTGCTATGCTATAGGAAATTTGTAATTTTTCTGATTGAAAATCAGAGTGAAATAAATTACTGGTAGAAAAGTTGTTGAGATAAAAGACAGTTATTTTCGTAAAATTTCCTGTTATTTTTTTCGGTAATGTTCAATTATTAATAAAACTATAGAGAAAATCAAAAAACGAATGACTTACCTACTCATAAACTAGATTGAAAATACAACGAAAAAACTCTAGTCGTTTATCTATTGGAACAATATTTATGGTAGAAACCATAAGTCGTATAAATTTTAAATAATGAAATCGTTGTGTCACGATTTGAAAAAAAATGGTATATTTTGTCTTTTTCGGGTTTTCCTAATTATAATGAAAAATACTTTACATATCAAAAAACTACTTTCCCAATCAATGACTGATGCGTTGAAAGTAACAAAATCGATATCTTATCATTTTTCGATAGGAGTAATATTACAACTTAAATACAACTCAATAAACACGGTAACACGTTGCAGCGCGCTGTAAATATTTGTCGTTTTACCTACAATTTTCTTTTTAAGTTTTTCACAACTATTTCGAAAGCCCCTAGGCAAAACAAAAAAAAATTACCTTCTCAATGCACCGATTGGAGAAAATTAACTTTCAGAAAAGATTCTGTAATCTATACTTCGGAGCAAGTTTCCTGGAAGAAAAGTTGTTTATGGATGAAAAAAAAAAACATATATATATATATATATATCATGGTAACCAATGGATCTCTCGCTATGCTTCGAATCTAAAATAAGTTTAACAATTTACGAGTGGATAAGGAATTACAAGATACAATTTTATACGTTCAAATCATCAATTGTCAAGGTAGTGTATTATTGCAAATTGGAGACACGTAGGTATAAATGAAATTCATGAAGATTTCGACGGAATAATTCCAATAGTGTTGGACTATGACATTTTTTCACGCAAATCGTGAAAACATTAACACCTAAGCTCAAAATTAATATGACATTATTATTAACTAACTATATCCTCTATAATAATTAAAAATGACTACTTCAATCGATAAAACAAATTGTGTACATGCGGACACATAACAAGAAAACATCTAGTACAGTAAAAACATGTAGTAGATAAGTACCTAGGTATCTATAAAACTAAGATTATTAATTTTTTCAAGATACAATATATTTCTATAACAAGAGTGTAAATTTAATACAATAAGCACAAGAAAAAATTCTGTTTCAATTTTAAACCATAATTAAATATTTATTAAATTTGAGACTAAGATTTAGTTTAGAATATCAACACAAAAGAGATTAGACACATACATTTTGTTCATTTTTTTTTTTTTTAAATTATGTGTTTGTTATAACATATAAATACTGAAAAAAAAATATTGTACAGTTATCTCGAGTCCTATATAGTCGATTAATTAATCAGTTTTTATTTCTACGATAAACAAATGATTTTTGGTTTTCAAACCGGTTTACTAGATGAAATATTCAATATATTAATTAATACAAAAGTTAATAAAATCAATTGATTTATAAATTGTGTTTCAAACAGTAATCGATATCTTTATATTTTCTTTACATTCTACACAAATATTTATTGTTATATTACATCAGGTAAATAAGATATTTATTTTGCAATTTTTATAACTGATATAATATTTTTTTTTTTTTGTCACAAAGATATTTCATAGAATATTTTGAATGAAACCATCAAGTTTTCAATATGTGTTGTTGGTTATAATAATGCATGCGCATGTATTGTAATTATTGTTAAAAAAAAACTTTCAAATTTAGTACTTGTTCAAGATGTTATAATTTTTTTTTTTTCTTCATATTTTCACAAGTTTAAAAAAGAAATCCGAATAAATTTAGACTTTAAAACGATCAACAACAGTGTTTAATATTATAATTATATGCATAAGCTACAGCACTATTGACAATAGTTTTAGAATTTTGGTTATTGTTATTTTTTAAATTTATTATTGATAAAATATTATGTCAAAAGCATCTCACATTTCTTGAATGGCTATTTATAATAATAATATTATAATAATTTATAACGATGCAATAACATATGTTACTTTACGAGAAAAGGAAAAAATAAAGTTATCATATTATGCAAACTTCACATCTAACATAACAATATTGTTGACGACATATTATAAATGCAACTTAACGATAATAATATTACAATAATAAAGAATCTAATATGAATTATTATACAATATACAACGGAAATTTACTATTGAAATAAATAATTAATAAAAATGACGCATAACGAACGTTTTTAGCAAAAAAGATTCTATATAAAACACAATTAATGATTACAAAGACTCATCAAACTATTTAAAGTTATTATAATTTTCATTATTATTATTATTGTTACTACTGTATTACTATTATTAAGTTAATTTCAAAACTGGAAAATAGACTATAATATTATTATACTATTGCCAATGAATAATAAATACACAAAAACACAATATTTTGTACAATTGACAAATACTGCATACACTCTATACAATGTTTGAAATTTGTACTTCGACAATAAGAGTATAGTTCACAATATTCTAATATTCAACTATTAGTATAGTAATAATAATAAATTGTTAATACATTTCCAAATGAATTACACATTAAAAGTAATACTATTATTGTCCAGTTATAACTTTACTAAATATTATTAGTTTATTAAGGTGAATAAAACTATAGTAGTATTGCAATTTGTTTTAAGTTTAAACCGTGTTATCATTATTAAAATGTGAGTACTTGTGTAATGAAAAAAAATATTTTTTAATAATATGGTAACCATAAAATTAAATCCCAATTAAAATTTTATTTTCAAAAATGCATAACAATTTTTTTTGTTTAATAATTTTATGTCAATTAAGAACAATAATCATTTTGATGACTAAAAACCTATTTCTGACTATGATTATTTGTATACAATCACCATTAATACTCATAGACACTGTGAATCCATAAACCAATTATTAAGTAAAATACATTAGGAGTTATGGACAACAAGATAAATAGAAAGTGGAATGAATTTGCTTTCCATAAATTAATTAATGATCAATAAGTATCAATTTAAAAATACATGTCGGTAAATATAACAACGGTACATTAATATTAAAATAGCTAACTTTCCTAAGAAATAACGTGACAACTTTCAATTATATTTATGGTAAGAATATTGTTTTAGAATAAAATATTTAATAATATAATATGTAAAATTTTAATTAAAAATAGACTAAGTGAGAAAAATTACTAAAACCGGTTTTAATTTTTTTTTTTTTATTCAATTTTGTTGGTATAGTTGAATAAAATATGGCTTAAATTTTCAAGACAGGTTTAAGCATTTGGATTGATTTGTTTAGTTATTTTTAATCAGCATCTGCTTTCATTCCTCTAACAGTTCCCTCATTCAATTGCTAAAATCAAAGTATTAAATTTATTAATATTAATATTACCATTGTTAATTATTTACTTTCTGAAAACTTACTCGGTGTAATTCTTCTCGGGTCTTTTCTTCTATTTCACGAATATCTTGTAGGGTAAGCCCGTGCCAACGATCCATCCAACAAAATACTTGTCTACAAAATTGTTTTATTATAAAATATGTAAATATGTATTAATAATAAATAGAAGATAATATCAGGCATAAACCCGATCTAAATATTATGGTATCTATAAGTTGATGATATCAACAAACCTATGGAAGTTTGTGAACAGACGACGTTCTGACTTATGAATTAAGTTTTCTACCCGATTCTGGAGTCCAAACCATTTAAAGTCTGCAGATACCAATTTGTAACAAGTCATCACTGGGCTTGCCTAAAACAATGAGCCACAATAATTGATAACTAATACAATTATTATAATTAGATGATAATTCAATGAAAATTAGTTATACTGTTTCTATCCAATTTCCACAAAGAGGACCTCGTCCGGTCTTTTGACTTTTGAACTGTTTAGGATCTTCACTTTCTTTATAATCTGAAGGTGAAATAGTATCGTTACCAATATCAATCATTTGTACCTCTCGGTGTTTTAGCTTTTCAGAAGGTAATTCATGAACCTACACAATTTTAATAATAATAATTATAGTAAATGAAAATGAAAAGGTAATTTAATTAGGCTACACATTATTTAGATTAGGTATAATAGTATGTTAGGTTTAAAATGTTAGAACAGTAAAACATGCAATTAATGAATACAAATTACCCAAAGTCACAAAAAAATAATAATATACAATAGAATAACATATGTATTATAGTATTCATTTTATCTAATTTATGATTATATGATTAGACATATTTAATAACTACATAATTCTAGTTTATAGAATGGCAAGAAATGTATTGAAAACTGAAAATTACCGTATTATTTTAAATATAAAACGTTAATATGTACTTATTAAATTATTATTTGAGACATAAATATTTAGCCATTGTGTATACAATAATAATTTATTGTATTTAAAAATGTGACTTCAGACATAACATATTATTTTGTTTAATTAAGCAGAACGTGTATGTGCATATTACAATTTAAATAAAACAATAATTATATTATTATTAATTTCAAAATAAAATATAAATATAATAATACCATACATAGAAATAAATAATATGTAAGCAGGAAAAATAAATAATACTGTTTAAAGACAGTTAATATAAGAACCAATGTCTAATAATAAAAAATAAAATTGTGTTTAAGCATTTTATATAATAAAACGGTGATTTCTGGGTTTTCATAAACGCCAAAATACTAAATATTTTGTGTCAATAAAATTCATGAACCACATCACTTACGTTTTCTTTTGTACCTCTATCAGCAATATGATACGACTCAATGACTATACTGAAATTTTCTTTCATATAATTTGGATTCTATACGTATAAGCAAAACCACCAAACAAAAAGCAATTATAATACATTATTTTTTATTTATGATATTATAATATTACATTTAAAACACAGAAATACATATTATATGTCCATATTATATTTTTGTTATTAGATTGTTAAAAAATAAGAATTTAAAATGTATATTAAAATGGATTAGTAGTGTTGTTTTGGCCTAAATAATGTCAAAGCAAGAAGAAATGACGATCAACATCCAGACCATACATAAAAAAAAGTCCCTTTGCATATAGATTGTAGCTTTTATCCTGAGAATCCTATTTCTTTCACTTACATTATTTTGGTCTCCTCGATCAGCACAATGAAATGATTCTATAGTTATCATAAATTTTTCTTTCATATAGTTTGGGTTCTATAAAAATAATATTAGACTTTTAAACAATTAGAACACCCTGTTTAAAAATTGCATATTATTAGTGTACAATGTAGAATGTACGGCAGAACTTTATCGATTAATTAAAATAATATAATACAGTTAAACTGATCTATAAAATAAAAATTTAATGGAAAACCAATTAGTTTTTTTTTTTTTCAAATAGGTATTTTAAAGATATTATATAACTAATAATATAGGCATAATATAAGGAGTGTGTGTTTTTATTTTCCCTAATTAAATAATATAATGTGACCTTTAGTAATTTGTTGTAGATATATTAATTAGGTTTATAAAGAACTTTAGATACATATATCGAAAAAAAAATAGTAACTTTTTTAGGGTATCTTGTACAATGTGAAAAATAATAACATGTTTAAAGGACATAGTTGTTCTAGACTACTAGACATTTTAGTCATAAATGATGAATGTTGGAAATCATAATTTTTCATTTAAACAAATTTCAAAATTTGTAGAGAATATTTAATTTACTAAATTAATGTAAAATTATATATTAAAACTTAGGTATTCAACATTTTATTAAATTTGTTTGATAAATTAACTAAGTGTTAATACATAAATACATATAAGGTATTTTAAAATAGTTTATAGCTTACAGTAATCACGGTTCGGCAGTAAGGGTAAGCATTCCATGCTTCTTCGTGGACTTCTAATGCACCTTTAGGAGCTAAAAATTTTATCATTCCGGGTACTTTGCTGCAATTTAATATAAAAATATATATGTATATATATTAATAATATGAAACAGAACACCAACAAGAAGTTACTAATAATTAAATTTTTTTTTTGTATTTCTTATTAACTAAATATATGAAATAGTAATTATAAAGTTATTCGACAAATACAAATTGAAAATAGTATCACAATATTAACAAAATATAGTAGGTTCTTATCCGAAAACAACAAAATAATTTTTTTTTTTGTATAAATTACTAGTTACTAAATAATGTAACCCATTGAAAAATAATATGAAACAATGATATTTTCAATATTTATATTCATTAAAAAATTTTTATATTGCATAAAATATACATTTGTTTCACAGTATTAAATTTTTCTTATTGAAAGAGATAACATTGTTTAAATTATCTGGTTTTTAGATGTATATAATTTTGTATTGTTGTGATTAATAGTTGATACTATATTTTTATGATAAAAAAACTAAAAATTGGTTCTGTAAAGTATAAAAAAAAATGTGTTCATTGTTTCCACATTAGCCAACAAAATTATTAGAAAATGACCTTCCTGGAAACCGGCTAGGTATGCAATTAATTGTTAGTAACAGCAACTATATGATTATTTTTATTTAGGAATACAATTTTATAATATAACATTATATATGAAAATAAGTAAGTATATCAAAATTACGATTTGTTTATAATTAATGTAAATTAATTATTATGAATTTCTTTAATTGTCAAAAACATGAATAATTAATATTGCTACTGGTTACAAAAATGAAAATACCAAATTAATTTTTTAAATATTATTATTTTGAAAACGTCAATATTTAATCTGTCATTATTTCAATACTTATTTATCAAGACATTTTTTATAAAACAGATTGAAAAAGGGCGGACATACTTTGCACATGGGTGCTGCCACTGTTGTAGGTAGGAAGTTGGGAAGGTAGGCTACAGACGGGAATTTAATGTATATCTGTAAATAACGATAAACCATTGCTAACGAAAAACCATTCTGAGCAGAGTTCAGTTGATAATGTTAATTTGTCAACAATACAATTATGATTATTATGTCATTTTATAGTATGATTATTATGTCATTTTATGGTAAAATTATTAAAATAATAACACGAAAAATAAATAAAAATGGTTGCCAATGACAACTTTATTTCAATCTTTCAATTTTTTTTTAATCTAAAGACTGAGGATTTTCTCATTGTCTCGAATATTAATGAGAATTTCAAAAAATGGCCTCTCTAAAGTACCACTCAGAGAAAATTTGCTATAATTTACAATCGGAGTATGCTTTTAGGTAGAAAAAGTGTTCACACAAAAAAATAAATATCATTATAAAACCAATACATTCCTTGTTTCACTCAGAAACTAAAATCAAAATAGAAAACTAATTATTTTTAATTCCTATTAATGAACAATTTTAGAATAATATAAATGTATGTACTTAGGTTAGATCTTATATATCAAGGTTTCATTATACAAACTAACTAAATTCATAATATGGCACCTACTAAAAATGTGTATTTTAAATGTATTATTATTAAAATTTAGTAGATAATATGGATTATGGACATTAGTTTTATAATTTATACATTCAAATGCAGTGTTAATAAAATATTAAAACTCTTTTTTATACCAAGGCTGGAATAATGTGAAATAATTAAATAATAAGAAAAAAAAATAAATATATTTTTTTAATGTTCAATACTAGTTTAATGACCTTCAAAAACATGTCATTCAATGCCATGTTGCATCCAATGTTAAATACCCGGTTAAATACAAGCTCAATGGGTATGTTTCTATAAATTAGCTCTACATAATAATTTCATTTTTGAGAAAATTTTCATACATATTAGCTTAGGAATCTATAATTATACAAAGTTGGACTTTGGTTTTCTTTTCTTTTCGAGGTTATTTTAATACTAAAATAAGAAATTATACACAATTACCTACCTATATTAAAAAATATCATTTAATAAAACTATATTTATAGTACATAAATATATATATATCAATTTTAGGGATGATATTATGATAAAATAATGGGTCAATCACCCATTATTAAGAATATGTAACAAAATCACTAAAAAAATTAGTGTTTTAACTACCTGGCCAAGTGATAGACTTTATAAGTATATTGTCCTTCTGAATACTTTCCACCTAAAAGAGGATAATTGGTAAACGGTTCATTTTTTAATACTTCGATTCCTTCACCGCCACCAGTTTCATTTTTACTGGCTTCAGCAACGGAGTACAGCTGTGCAATTTGGTACTAAAAACAAAAAAGAAAAATAATATTAATAATTTAGTCTATAAAATTATCAACTACATAAAAAAAGGAAGTTAGTATTATGAATTATTATAATGGTAAAATATGCACAGGCTGTAATACCAAGATATGACACTTGATATACCTGAAGATTTTTTCTTGTGATAAATATTAGAGTTTAGTGCAATGATTCTATGCTATAAATTGTATATTTTGTTTTAAACTAAAACTAAACATTGTTTTTACAAATATTTAATGATAATGGATCATTAAGTTTCTATAATTCTTTGATGTGTGAATAGATTGATATTATTTAATAGTGGCAATTAAAATTATTTAAATATTTAAATAATTGTAAACTTCAAAAAATTGTAGAAAATTTAAGTTCCATTAGTAAATATTTGTATATTAGTAAACAAAATTTTGTTTCAAAATATATTCATAAAATTACTATCTTATAATTTGTAAAAACAATTTAAAAAAAAATTAAAAATATAGGATTAACTAAGCTCTGGAAATTAATAAAAGAAAAAATACTTAAAAATATTGATCACAACAAAGTTATTCCAGATGTCAGATCATTGTGTTACCCCTCAATATACACAAATTACTTGAAAAGTAATAGTAATTTTGAATTTAATATTCATGGTTTTAAATATTTCAGATAAATATTTGTGTTATGGTAACTATTTTTTAACAATTTAGTTTAGAAATTATTTAATTTAGAAAATTAACATAGATAGATATAAGTAGTACCTATTAAATTCTTAAAAATGACTTATTTACAAATATATTCTTTCTTATCTTAACTATCAATATATTATATTCTAATATATGTATAAACTTTATCTACATACACGAATCTCAGAACATAAATTATATATGTATCAACTGTAGAAAAACTAGAAATAATTAATTAGTGATAAACCAGATTGCAATATAATATGTCATGGTAAATTTGACATAATGTTAAATCCTTTACCATTTAATAGCCTTAATTTTAGTTATCTATTAAATTAAATTATTATATACACCTACTTTCAGCATTAATAAATTAATTAATTTTTAAGTCTAGTACAAAGTTTTATTGAAAAAGTTAACTATATTTTCAATACCTAATTCATTTCTAGTGTACAAATTAATACAAGCAATAGATTTTAATAATTTATTATTGTTTTAATAACGATTTTGACAAAATAAATATAAGTAAATACAAACCTCTTCGACTGTTAAAGGCAGAACCACACGGCTAAAACAAAAACAATTATTTTGTATTAATAAACTAAGTATGTATATAAATTATATTAGGTATAAAATTAGTAGAATTAAAATATGATAGACTAATCCAAGAAGTGGCGATCAATGGAACATCTTTTGTGTAGCAGCACAGTGCTCCACTAATTGCCACTATCCAAACTTAAAAGTATGATATCTTGTAAACAGATTAATGGAAATTATATATTTCAACACCAAAATATATTTAAACTAAATTCAAACTCTTATCTATTTATGTAATTTTTAATATAGGTTACAATTAAATTATCGAAAGTCAATAGTAGTTTCACCATCTAAAAATAATGGCATTGTAACATTTAAGAGATGTTTTTTTCTTGAATCGTAAAAAAAAAATTTGAAAAAGTTAATTTTTAGTGATAATGAGTGATTATCATGTATATGACTTATAGCTGATTTTCAAAAATGAAGCTTTATGTATTTTCAAAATCACCCCCTCTCCACATCCCTGATAGGTAGGTTTAATAAAATATAACATTATACGTTTAATAACAATCGCTTCTTCTTCGCTTGCCAGTTAATGGTATTTAAATTTTAGTTATTGTCCTAAAAGTTCCACCATCTGTCCTTTTACTAGTAACATTGGGTATTCTATTAAATACCTTGTTGTTTCCACATTTCTACACTTACAGTACGTCAGTGGTTTTTGACGTGGTAGTGATTGTTAAAAATAATTAAAATAGTAAACTGAAATTGTTTAATATTAAAATATGATCATCACGATAAAACTAAAGTAAAAATTTAGGAATCTAATAAATATATAATTAGATACACGGGACCAAACTACCTAATATATTGATAGTTACCTATTAGACTAATACTATACATAATTCAGAATAAGAGCACACCTGGTGGTAGATACAGTTTGCGCATGTATAACAATTACTCTGGACTACTAGCTGAATCCTTAGCAGTACAACGATTACCACTGAGGGTTCAGAAGGTCTAACAGTGTGTGGATGTTTAATAGTGCATGCACCAACCGGTGTATTCTTATTCTGAATAGACAGAGCCGGATTTAGGATTAGGCTACCTAGGCTATAGCCTAGGTGGGCTATGACTTCAGGGGGCGTCATGGCTGTGGCAGAACTTTTGATATTTTTGTTGATAAAATTCCTATCTGCGAATTTAATTTATCTACTAGAAAAAAAATGTATTTATTTGTATATAAATACTGATATCTGATCTGATATCAAACAATAATTATTTTTATAAATTAGCTGTTCGCTGTTGGAAAATTATAAAAATAACCTGGAATTAGCTGAATATCATTCGAACATTAAGTAAATGGGTGATAAAACTTTACATTATATTATATATATGATATTTCTACGTATTTATAATATTTTCAACACATTCCCTGTGGAAGAGGATCAAAATACTCCCACTGTACGTCCTCCTGTCGTGAGAGATGACAAATGTGGTTGTGTCAGGTCAACAGCTGGTTTAAATTCTGTCAAAAAATATGTGGACTTCTAAATAATAATTGTCACAACTAGGATGCGCACAAGGTCAACAGGTGAGAGGAAGTTAGGTTAGGTCATAGTGTATGATGTTTTGCAGATTATAAAGCTGTGATAGGAGAAAATTTCGAATAAATTAATAGTAGGCTTGAGGAATAGAGAGTAACACTTAATGGAAAGGGACTAAGGATAAATAGAAGTAAAACAGAGTATGAGTTTGATGAAACAGAACAATACAACTAACGACAATAAGCAGTTATAGACTACATTGAGAGTTTTAAGTACCTAGGAACTTTAGTACAAAACAATGGTGGCTTTCATGAGCAAGTGAAACATAGGTTTACGTGTGATTGGATAAAGTGGAGAGGAGTAATTTGTTTAATTTAAGTAAAGTGAAATAATATTTTTAGGTAAACTTAAAAATATTTATGTTTTAAAAAGGGGTGGTTTTTTATTAACCAAGGGGCATCTTTTAAGTGAATCCAGCCATGTGAATAGATTATAGATATTTTGGGGTACCTGTTATTAAGAATATCTTAAATTTAAAACCAGTAAACATTGTACCTAGGTATACCTACCTACATAATTTTTTTTAAATATTTCTAATATTTTCAAAAAAATCACTAATTTAAATGGGTCAGGCCCACTATGATACACTAAAGTAAGTTACAATAAATACCTATACCTATATCTAAAGGTAGAACCAATAATTTTATTTTGTCTAACAATAATCATTTGTTTCTACTTTTTTAACATGAAATTATTATGAATTACAATTAGGTTGATAAATAGGTACTTTGTTTAAAAAAAAATTACAATAGGTACTTAGAATTGTAGGTAATAGAGATAAATCAAATCACTATAAAATTAATAAAATATTGTCAAGTCATGGTATTTGTCAATAAAAATATGTTTACATTATTTTAACCAATAACCAATTTATCATGAATCATATCAGGTATAATGATTACCTATAAAAATATTAATAAATTACTGATTTTCAAAGCCATGACTGATTTCTCGTTAAAATTTTAATAGTAATTTAAAAGAAAAAAAAAGGAACAAAATAACTAACCAAAGTCAAACACTGTCAATTACATTGATTAGATTTTGAAATAAATACTAAAAAATAAGTAGTTTAAAAAATTAGAAATAATTTCATTCTACAGTGGGTAAGTAGGTACCTCTATATATCTCAGTGTATCTACTATTTATAGAATTAACATGTCTACAAAATATTGGTCTGATATTCAGTTGAGTGAATTATAAATAAGTATGTAGGTATAAATTATGTTGAAAATATATTTGTTACAATACCTACCCATAAGACCGTAACTTCCCAATTAAAACATTCAACAAATTGTATGGGTAAATGGTAGGGAACAATGTTATTGTTTTTACTTAAGTAGGTACCTAAGTTACTCAACCAAGTTACTCGTTAAAATGATTGTGACTTCCCAAATATTACAATTAATATATTATGTTATATTAGATATATACCTATTAGGTATGTAATTAATATAGGTAAAATTAAATGTATAGTAAAGAGTCCAATCAATAATATTTAGTTAACTTTAGACTGTAAGTGAAATTAGAATACTTTAACCAAGTATTATCTGCATTGGCTAAGTGCATTATTATAATAAGCAAAATTTCTAAAAGATTGTTGAAATTATAGGTCGGTACTAAAGACTTAATATAATATAATAACTTAATATGATAACTAAATAAATAAATATTCAAATTTGTATTTTTTTTTTAACTATTTTGTATGGATTGTTATCAATACTGATTAGGTACGTTAAATAGATAGGTAATTATCATAAAACACAAAATTATTACACTTCAGTTAAAAAATATCGATGATATTTTAAAATACTTATCTATAAAAATTATTCATATTCCCAAACATATACGTATTGTTCAATAAGACTTGATGAATAAAAGAACATAACATAATATTCTGCATAATATACAATTTTTTTTATCCCTGTTTCCTGGGAAATCGAATACAGAGAACAATAAACCTACTACAAACACCTACACATATCTACTCTATGAAACAAAAACAACTATTTAAAATACTAGGCAAGTATACTACACACATTATAATAAGTGGGGGAAGTTTATTTTATACATTCAATTCAATAAAAAAAAACATCAGTGATAACGTATCGGGTAATTAAAATCGACAATATTAGACCGATATTGACATTTCACGAATCGGTTTGTTGTTATTATCATTTCTTTTTTTTATTTCTCGTACGAAATGTGGCGTGATTTCGAACCGGCATGGACGAGGCCATCTCGCTGCGTGCCAAAAAAGGGTTAAAAATCCGAACGATAACGACAACAATAACGATTCGCGAACGGACGACGGGGGATGGATAATAGCGGCCGAGACGTGTGCCCCAAGAGTTGTAAACGGACCGTTCGGGAAAATAACCTGAATGAGAATTTTATTTAATAAAACCTATCGAAAAGACTTACAATTCTTTGATGATCATTTTCCCGGTCGTACGACTGCGGCTGTTGGTCGGATACTGTTGTCACACCACGTTGCAAGCGAACCGACTGACGACGATTCCGGTGGCTACACGGCTCGCAAGGATGTGTGCGTGTTGTGTGTGCGTGTGCGTGTGCGAGTGCGGTGGCAGTGCGATCGGCTGCGTCCCCCTCGGGCCTCGACGACGGCCGGACAGAAGGAGAAGAAATCGCCGTTCGTTCGGACGCGAATCGCGAAAAGAGAACCTATGCGTAACAATCAGAATCTAAATGTATTATTATTATTATTATTATTATTATTATCTTAAAGTACCGGTACGGCGCACGCGCGACGACTCGAGTTGTAGTCGAACGACGAGCGTTCCGAAGTAATATGTGACAAATAATTATCAGCGACGTCCACGACCGCGGGGTTTAAGAGAAACGCGTACAATAATGCGACCCGCCGGACGCTATGGATAGGTTTTTTTTTTGTCTTTTGACAACAGATTTAAAAACAAAACTCAGGACACTGCGCGTGTCGGGGTCGGACGGCAACTTACGGCGCGGCGACAGCGACCGGACGAAAGCCGCGGAGTCCGCGATAAACGATAAATTGTTATAAACTTTTAATGTTGCCAAACTGCGCGCGGTTGATAAATGATAAGTGAATTTCCAGTAGTACGGAAAAAAAATAAGACGAACGCGTACCGCGACGTCGGGAAGCCTTCGAATCGATTGCCAGACCTGTTTCTCCGGTGCTCGGCGCGCGCCGCGCGACGCGCAGCGACATCTGCCGGTGCGCTATAAACCGCGGATCGAACAAAATCTGTGGCGCGCGCAAACGCAAACGCTCGTCCGCCGTGTTGTAAACGAACAAAATTACGTCGGGCCAGCGATAATGCACGCACGCGCGAACTTTCACGAGCTTTTCTTCATCGGTGAGCGGGTCACGCGTTTATTATGCGCGTGTACCGGTCGAATAATTAGTACAGTTTAAAATTGAATAACGATGCCTATCGCGTTTTACCCGCTACGGCATAACACTCTCGTCAAAAGCCAAAATACGATTACGATCAGAACGATTGCCAGCGCCGTCCCAACTGTATTCTGCATTCGTGGGAGGGGAGGGGACGATTTCAAGAGATTTAACTGTCATTTCCGCCCCGCCCGACACTAAACCGCGGTGGAAAAAAAAAATGATTTTCACTCTACTCGTACTGCGGTCGACCGCGACCACGACACGCAGGCCCCAAAAAGTCGAAAATAGCGTGCGGCTATTTTGGGTTTTTCGGGATCAGAGATTTGATCGCGTTTAGTAGCGCAGTTCGAAATTTCGTTAATTTTGGGTCGTGCACCTATTGTGGAATCAGAACCACCCTCGTTAACAAACAGACTTGTACTTAATGATTACTAATTAGACAAAGGCACTGGACTTTTGCTCGAACATTTTTCATAATATTATAAACATTGATTCCAAAGGAATTTAGTTTATCCGGAATGTACGTTGATGTTGCTATGTATATTGTAGGTATATAGGTATACCTAAACAATTACACAATTGTTACGCATACTTACCGACTTGTTACTAAATCCGTGATCAAAATCGTTTAAATGTCGACTTCAATTGAAAACTTGTAACCGAATATACAGGAGAACGCGGTGTCAGCCTGAGCACGGTAATTAAGCCTCAACATTTTTTTGATTTTATTCAATGTACCACAGATAGACAGTGACACGGAGTACATATAGGTATACGTTTTAATTTATCGGCACACCAACAAACGATCGGACTTTTTTCCAAATAAACGAGCGATAGTCGATAAGATACTGACGGTTTTTTTTTTTTGCTTTTTTAATAAACGTCTCAACGACCCGGTCGTAACTAAAATTTCAAACATTATAATCCCTCAATAATACAATTATTATTTTAAGGGTACAACGTACAGATATGTATTTTTTCCGGTGATTTACGAGGGCAGTTTATCCACGTGTAATTCAGAGTGCGCTAAAGCATCGGCGTGCCCGACACACCCCAAAGCTCCGCCTATGACCCAGACGCAAAATCCCCTGACGTTTGGCCCGCGTTTATTATTATATAGCTATAGCTGCATGCGGGTACAGGACGAAAATGTTATACCTCTCATTATTCAATTATCTATACACCTCATTACTTATCGTGCGCTACTAATAATTAAGTAGGCGCTAAGTAATATTTTACGAATTAAACACAAAACCGAGTATAGGTATGTGTAGGTGTTATTTTTTTAAATCTGTAAACAATTTTTCTACCAGAATCGCTCAAATCGTAAACTCTTTAGTCACATATCTACTTGTAGACAATCCCAATCCAGATGATTTTCGCCGATTCCTGCGGGGTCCCCTTGGCAAAAACGGAAAAAGTGCCATGAATCGTTTTTCGTTGGCAATCGCTGCGTACACAGATATAAATTAAATCAGGTGTTCTATAGAATAACTTTTTTCCCGACTTTTCTGTTCGGGCCTTTTGAACATCATTGCTAAAAGTATAATAACAATTTCATAAAATATTACAAAACAGTATAATAGCACCTACCTACGTCGATGTTTAAAAACAATCAGATTGTAATAGGAACAATGCGACGATATTACCTTTATATGTATATAATGTAATAATAATTACAGAGCCGTTAATTATTATTGAATTAATATTAATTAATTAATTAGTAGTAATAATTAATTAGTATCGGTAGGTACGCTGATTGCTTTTTAAATAATATCTAATTGTGTGACCATTTTATTAAATCGCAGTACTACGGCGATCATTGCATAAATATATATATATATTTAATTTTTTTTTTTTAGTGATTCTATTACGACGTTTGTCATTTATTGTTTTTTTTTTTTTTTACACTGCACACTGCACGTCACGGCGTGTGTTACCGTACTTACATTTCGCTGTCAGAGGTATATTCAATAAAATAATATTCGGATGGCATTATATAAGTGTATACAGGATGATTTTTTTGTTTATCGTGACGCTTTTCTGTCGGGATATGTTTAAGTATATTTGATTCGTGTTTGTTGTTTTTTTTTCCAACCATTGTAATATAATAATACGGACGATGTGTTTATCGGAAATCGGAAGCTTTATTTAAAATAATTTATTTTCAAATTTGTAGCCTTTACTATGCATATATCCCCCCATATATTTTAAATGAGCATTCATATTTTGAACTTTTACTCGAAATTTTCGTTAATTATAGTTAGTCGCTGGATCACGATAAAAACACCACTCTGTATACACATACAAATATTTGATATTTGTTTTGTTCGCGTACATAATTATGATGATTAGTAAATATAGTAAATGCGGAACACTTATTACGGATGAGTCACGTATAAATAATAACGTCAAATAAATTTTATAGTTTATTGAAACATTATAGCCGTTTGTCGTCTTATTATTATGGTTCACTGATTCTAAACGATTCGAATCGTGTGTGCATATAGGTAATATAATTTTCCACAAAAAATTATGTTATACAAATTCAGCTATCTATGCGTAATACACAGTCAACATCATTTTTTTTTTCTGAATTCTTTATATAAAAATACAGATGCTAAAAAAAACCTCCCACAAATCGATAAAGTGGTACTTATTGTTATAATTATATTTTAACAAAAAAACATAATTTATATTAATTAAAACAGGTTTATTTAAAATGTACAACACATTGTTCTTAATCAACGTCCACACACATACATGGAATAGCACTTTAATCTAACGATAATGTTAATGATAATCTTAATAGTGATAACATGTTCTTATTTATAGGACGAGTGATAACTATTATCGATTTCAACTTTACAACACTTCAAATCAGAAAAACGTCGTGAAATTGTTATATTTCGCATACTTAAAAAAAAATATATAATAGTTAAATGTTAATAATATTTTAGAGTGATTATTATTATACCGCAGGCAGGTATTAAATAGGTATGGCGTTGACGCATGCAAAAGTTTAAGATTACCAGCTATCGTGTGGTTCGACTGCAATAATTATTGATATTGCAATACTGCAACCCATCAAAATCAAAAATTGCAGACGCAAAATTGCAGTAGTAATATATAATTTCAAACTGCAGTTTATTTCTACAATTTATGTTTTCTATAATAGGTATTGCGCTGTGATACCCAAAAAAAAGATGAAATATTAGGTATCTACCAATACAGTGACGCAGGTATCTATTATATCATTACCATTAACGCCGAACGCGGTCAAGTCTGGTAAAGATTTTCGTGTTAGTGTTGGTTGTGGGTGGTGGTGTTGGTGATGAATTAGCACATAATATATTTAATATAGGTACCTACTCGTATTAATCGTATTCTGGCGTTTTAGTATAAAACGATGTTATAAATATACCTATACATGGGCTCATCGTGATGCGATTTTATAATGCACAAAAATGTACACAAATATGTGTAATAAAAACGACGAAACCGGCAAAACTTTACACAGTGTCTAACAGCAAACAAAACATTTCGTTAAATATAAATAAACTTTTGGAAAGCCCTTCCCCCATGTGTCTGCTTTCGTAGCTAATAAATAGGTAGGTGGCGCGGTAATGAATACGATCCGGCTATATTATATTGACCAGGCCATTTCAAATACCGAATCGTCGCTGATGTGCACTGAAGTGTACGACATAATAATAGGTGTACATCCGCACGCGACCGACAAATCGTATATAAATCATGTCACGTGGGGAAAAAAGCAAACGTAAACGGCCACAGTTTCCAAATACAATCTATACTGCACCGACCTTATTAGGCGTGTCAAGTGTCGGAGTGTCGATAAAACAACTGCAGTCTGCATTATAAAAAATAATATCGAGTCCGTGTTAAACAAAATACGAAAATGTATTGTATAAATCACCGGAATCCAAATGTTTGGTTTATTTTTTTGTGTAACACACGAGTGCCTAAATAGCATGCGTCGAAACATCAAAAATACGTAAAATAAAAAAACTACTCGCGTAGGGCTCATCTGTATTATACAGGTGTATAAGTATACAAAATATTATTTTCGAATAGTAACACAAATATAATAAATAATAGTATGTCCAACACCCGCCATATTATAGACACTCCCCCGTCGATATATTTCCCGGATAAAATCGACAATGTAAAATATTGCAGGTTATATTATGTACGGGTATATACTCAGTGCGATCGTACAGATGACCGAGTTACCGTTGAAGAAGAGAGCCCCGACTGTTTCGACAGTTTTAACGAAAAAAAATAAATAAAACTAACACAAAACAACTTAAACAACTTAACGCAGCGATATTTTAAAGCGAATAAACACATAAATTTATGTATTGTAAATCGATGGTAGTGATATTATGACCGGTGTTCTTACACGGCGACGACGTTCGTAAAATGTAATATAAAGTCGTCCCACTTATCCTTATATATTCGTGAAGCTAAAACTTTTAAAACGATTTTAAAAATATAATATATTATTTCCCGTTTATTATTATTGGAGTCAACAGAACATACATAAAACAAAATAAAATGATGAAATAACTGAGATGATTGTCTATCTATTTTAAGTTAATGCTTGTGTTAGAGGTAGAAAGTATTATATTATAAACAATAAACGTATGTAATTTTTATAGATAAACAAATTAATAATATAGATAATTTAAAAACATACATTCACAAGACTGATAGACCTAGAATATCACCATGAAAACAAAAAGAAGACCTAAGTTAATGGAGAAAACAGCCAATTATAAATAATTGTTTTAGGATTAGTCTTAGTACAGTGAACATTTGTTCATATATATATATTGCATCGAGTTAAAACACACATGCCCAAAATAATTAATACAAAAATTATATTAGTGTATTTAACCGGAATATTATAGGATCTACATTCTCTTTTAACCTCACACAATTTACTATTATAATCTTTGATAAAAGTCATAAAAATGAATACAGTTGCGTTTTTTTTTTTTTTATACATAAATTTAATTGGTAGTACCCCCAGCTTGTAACAATTTAGCATCGTACATTTTTGTAAATAATACATACTTAAATAAAATTTTAGAATATTATTCCGGTTAATTTGCAAATTGTTTAGCATACCCTTATCTAGTTCACCTCATATTGTTAGGTTAGCCCATTAAATATTGAAAATGAAGATTCCGATCAACTAACCCACTAAAATTGAAGTCATTGACCAATTTAATATATAATATAAATAAAATAGGATCCAGTACACTTCCTTGAGGGACTCGATATTCAAGCGATCCTTCCTGGCTTCTACGTCATAATTTAAAGCCATTTGTTTTCTATCGAATAGGTAACTTTCAAACCGAGTTAACTGTCAATCTATAATTATCAATTCCGGAACTAGGTAACATCTATAGCAAAATGTTGTGATTTACAGTATCAAAAGCCTTGAATAAGTTCAAGAACATACTAAAACCTTGTAACTGTTATCTAATTCGTTATAAATAAATTGAATTGTACTAAACAGGAAATTCAATTTTAGACAGTAATTTGTTTTCTTCTAGACACAAAATTAGTCTTAGTTTAATTATGTTATCAACAATTTTAGAAAAATTTCTAAACTAGAATATTAGTCTAGAATTATTTACATTTTTATAATTTTCGTCCTCGAGAAGAGGTTTTATCACAGGTACTTTAAGACTATTTGAAAATATACTCAACTTATGTATGTAAAATAGCCGATTTACTATAAGATTAACGACATAGTTTGATAATTTATTCCTCATTCTATCGAAGCCTGTAGCTAAATCATTTTTACAAATGTTTACTATGTTAATAACATTTTATTGTTTTAAATTACAACTCCGGAATAAGGTCACGGAGCTCTATTAATGCTATAATAATACAACATAATATTACTGTAATATAATTATTATATTACTCTGCTGCATTCTAAATTTCCGAACGAAACCCATGAGTAAGACCTAATAAGATTGTATACGAACGGAGCCAGGTCGGGGGGGGGGTTTACTATTCTGGGTTGTTGTTGTGACCGTTTCCGCCACCGCGTCACCGTTACTGAGGTCCTAACGCGCGGATTTATATGGGGAAAAAAATAGAACACGAAATTAATATTATTTTAGACGAAGAATTTAAATCTACTGTCTTGTGCAGTAGGCAGCTATGAAAACGTATTTTATCCGGAGTGTAAAGCGGTCATAATTTATATTAAATGCCGTATACACATTTTTACTACATTGCCCGTTACAATTACAGACGACAAATGCCATTGTAACGGCCCCCTGTTAAGTATGCATATTTAATATACATGTACAGTATATAGTATTATTATATATGCTCGCAGTCTTGTTCAGACTAATAATTAACCGAATAACTATTACGCTGTATATACTAAAACAATGGCTTTTGTTATTATTCGTCTAGAAGGAGAGTGAAAATCTCTTATATATACGTCATTGCAGTTATAGTATGATATACACACGGCCAGAGAGGTATAAAATATGTAGGTACATCGTTAAATTTTAAGGCTGGCGAAACCTCATATTGTTTTCGGTGGAAACCCGTCTCTAGCCGCAAATATTATAATAGGAAGTCGTTTATTATATAGGTACACACTGCATAAGACAGTGGCGCATTTAGGGGGAGGGGGATGAAAAAGGAAATTGTCTCGGGTGGACAAATCTAAATGATTTTAGGTGGCAATTTTTATAGAAAAGAGGAAACAAGGTTAGGGTAAGGATAATAGGGAAAATGTTTTATTATGGGTGTATATGTATGTAAATAAGGAGGATGGGGAGCGGAAATTTGTTTGAATATTATGATTTCAGTTAGAAAATTATACACGCATTTCCAATCGGAGTTTAAAAATAATTTTTTCATTCCTTATAATCACTGGAAAAAAATATCTTTATTTATTCACTTTTTAAAATTTTCAAAATATCCAATTTGTAAAATATATTATTCTAAAAATTTGAATGGACCATACTTATATATTTGATTAATAGTTTCTTAGTAATAGCCGTTTACATTTTTAAAAAATCGGTGTAAAAACAATGAATTTTCAATAGAATAACACGTTACAAGAGAAGGAATCACAATTAAAAGTTTAATTTTTCTCTAATAGTTTATAAATAAAAAATGAACATTAACAGAGTTATTCGAATTCGGATAATACTATAGGATATCCTGTAAATACAATAAAAATAGAACATTTTTACGATAAAAACAAAATGCCTACATCACAATAGCATGTAGGGCGCGGATTTCAATAATATGCTTAGAAAAACGTGTAAAAACGTCATGGAAACCAAGAAAAAAACGATTTAATGCGATAATAATAAAAATAAATAAAGTCGTATTAGATCGAGGTGACATTTTATAGTATAAAATGAGGAGTATATAGAACAATTTCCAAAAGAAGATGGGTGTATTAAATTATTTTTATCGCCCTATACTTGTATGCATTGCGTATTATGTATAGAAATCGTAAATACGCTCAATTATTGTTAAAATTTGGCGTCGACTTCGATGGTTTTTTTTTATAAAGTCTTAAAAGTATTTTATTTGATTTCTTTGAGTTTTTTTGTTTGTTTTTTGAGGTAGGGATCGAATAGACTGTAGAACGGTCCCGTCTTATAACTAACTCTCTAACTATCACTAGAGGTATCCATAGTCAAAAAATTCCAGTTCGGTTCGTGTTCTTTAAAGCTTTAGCTTGTGTTTTTAGTCGATTATATATTTTTCTTTTATTTTAACCTTTTTATTTATTTAGTGTTGATATCTAACACTAAATATTATCAAATACCTCATATTATAATATATAGTTGCTATACGTTTTATACACTAACGACACTCGTGGTCACTTCCCTCTCACTAGTCCCACTCATTGAATTTATCGGTTTAGCATAATATGTCGGTCGGTAAATCGTTACATTATCGGGCGTCTTTTCAAAGTTTTCGATCAGAACAATATAGGACCATCTCGAAACTATACGAATTGTTAAGTGTAGAAAGACCGTGTGTAAAAATTTTAAAAATATTCAAGAAAGACAAACATATTTGATATTTCTGAAAAAAAAAAATGGCATGTTATTAATTAATTTTATAGTGTGAGAGAAATTAATATTTATAACTTATAAGTTTCTATACAGTCATTTTATGAAATATTATAAAACTCTAGGCACTTAATAAGAGTTGTTTGTTTTGAGAAAAGTTTTAAAATGTGAAAATGTGTCCTTTTTTCATTCGGCGATTCGTATAGAGAAATACTCTCTTTCTCTGTCTTAATATTTGACGTAATTATGCAAGAACTGTACATTGGAAAGAAAAAAAAAATAATAATTTCACGGCGAAATCATTATTAAGAACCACATAAATTCTGTTTTAAAAGCAACTGAAGACGGATACAAAACGACGTCATAGTAGAAAAAAAAAAAAAAACGTACTAAATGTTGACGAAACTGCAGCGTGGCGGCTGCGAAAATCACGGGACTCGCCAAAAATCGTAAAAATGCCATTACACGCCGCCGCTGCCGAAACCGAGGGATTTTCTAATTTGACGGTAAGTTTAATGCGGGGTGAGATGCGCGTGATAAAAGTGTAAAACCGGAGGAAAGGTCGTTTTGAGGCGGAAACTGTCGGCGGCGCGTCACGCGTGCGGAGTCGTGCGTACGCACCACACGCGTCACCGCGGTGTCGTAGCGAAAATACACGCCGGCACGCGTGATCGGAAATAACGTCGACGGGGGGGGGGCTGCTGCTGCGCGGTCGTGGAAAGGCTTTATCGGTACGCATTTATTGCATTTGGCGACGTTATTCCGACGGAGACGACCTCGTCCGGCGGTAATATTATTAGCACCGTTGCTGTGTTATGGTCGACGGCGAACGACAAAACAAACAGCGCCGGTAAAACAAACAGAATAATGTGCGAAACGCTTATATGTGTCGCGCGGGATCGCGCGTGCGCCGCTATTGTAAAATGTGTGCGCGCGACGCGACGGACTCGAAAACGACACCGCGGAGCCGCTAATAATATACCGATACTTTCGGGCCGCGGGCTAGGCAGTTGTACGATTTTTGTTCGACGACATTTCACGCGCGCGACAGCGGACAATAATCGTGTTCGTACATTGGAAATGTTTACGCCGCGCCAGCCGTATGGTTCCGGTCCGGAAATTCCGCGGGTGACGCAACACCGTTATAACCGAAGTGTCCGGGAGAATTATTGTTCCCAAACACAAATGTTTTTTTTTTTTCTTCAAATGTTATCTAATATTACCCGCAGCGTCAACCGCACCAGCCGAAAGAAGGTTTTCCACTCTAAAACGGATAAACGGCCTTGTTATTTAAGGAACTGTACGGGCGACACAAGACTAAATGGTTTAGCTCTGATAAATAGATTACACGCACGGTAGACATACGCGCTATCGATCCTGAAATAATAGTTAATATTATGTTTGCTTCAACAAAATAAAGACGCTTGGATATTGTACTATAAACAATTGTTTAATTGTTTAGCTGTTTTTTATTATTATAAATAATCGAAATAAATGAAAAAGTATTTGATATTGAAATTTTCTTTTTTAAAAAAAAAACAAGTTTAAATTGACGACAAGGAAAAAAAAGTTAATATTATAACTTCACTGGTGGCATAGAACTTAGAAACAACTTAGAATGAACCTTCTATTAAGTTTTCAAACATTTCTGTTTGGTCAAACAATTTCAAACAGAATACCTATCAAATAATAATTACGTAAAATGCTCGCAAAATTAAAATGTCTGTAAATAGTTCAAAAATGGCTAAGATGTTTGAGAATTTGACCATGTCTAGAAAAAGCATATGTAAGTTTCCTGTCTAAATTTCTAGTTAACGAATATTTTTAACTGAGTCACAACCAAAAATAAAATTGAAAATAAAACATTTTGTAAATTTGCCCGTTTTTCCTATGTTTTTTTCCCGAATTATTTTAAAAACCTTCCGGATAATCAAAAATAACCTCCTTTTAGTACTACCCAGATAAAAATTTCTTTCAGTTAAGATACTAAATATGAAAATTGGATAGAGATTTCTGGTAGAATAGTTGTTTACAGATAAACAAAAAATAAACATCGTTGTAAAACCAATATCAGCTTCGCTCGGAATATAAAACATCGGAAAATAAATAAAGGTTAAAACGCAACGGTATTATAGTCAATATATGAAATTCAGAGTCTAAAGTTTATGCGATAAAAATATGTGCATTTTCGGAATTTCGTAGAGGAAAACAATTGTGATGACTAACGGCCACGGAAAACGGGAGAATTATTATATAGATACTGGTCTCGGACGAAATCCCAAGACCGTGACACGAAACGCATGATGTCCGCGAAGAGTTGGTCGAAAATATGCGAATTAATGACGCAAAATACGTGCACGATAATAATAATTGCGGTTTATAGTGAGCGATCCGAAACAATAATAATACAAAATATAATATGATAATAATATCATGATCGTAATGCACAAACATCAAACATACAGGATGAATCTATTACTACAATTCTGTAATTTTCTCAGAAGATTTTAAGTAATTTTAATTTCTGTGCTTTTTTTTTTTTCAATCGTTATGGAATCGTTTAAGCTTGTTTATTTCATTGATTATTTCAACGTAATCTCCTTATTAGGTTACCTTCAATGAGTATTTACAGTTTAAAGACCGGAGAAGTAGGAAAGGGCGATAATTTGCATTCTGATTTTTAAATGATACATTGATTAGGAGAGGGGGGATTAAAAAGGAAAAATTAACGTACTACAGACATATGAATATCAAAAAGAAACTAATAAAAACGTATGTATGAAGTGTGACTTTGTATGAATTGTAAAACACGGATAGTAAAGAAAAAAGAAAAAAGAATATGCTGGAGGCTCTAGAAATATGGCGTTGGACAAAGATGCAAAACATGTAGGTTGGATTGAAAGAAGAATGAACTAATGAGGATGTATTAAAGACGATGGAAGAAAAACGAATATTAATATACTCTAGAGAAAAGGATATGTCAGGGATCACGACCAGGAGGAAAAACGAGGTACATCAACCCAATTAATAAAGGATATGGGAGTCACTTCATAAAAATACCTCAAGGAGATGTCAGATGTTTAGATAATATTATATTGTTTTCAAAAATATTAATAACCATGCATAATATATCAATATGTATACAACTACTCGTATGCCCTACGTATAAATACGTATTTATTATAGCCTTCAGTATGTTGAGTGCAGATATATTATCGCTCGTAGATATTATCACATTGGAAATTTTACATTTTATATCTTAAGTGTATAGATATAATTTTTGTATGTGCCTATTATATTATAATTTAGGTTCTTGTGAAAATTCTTACAAACGCGTTTCATCACTCGATTTACATACTTATTTTATTCGTGGCAACACAAAATAATATTATGGATCGTACAATAGGCGATTGAGTTTGTAATAGCTAATCGCCTATTGCATTCTTAAAAATAATTACAGTTTTTAATTTCTTTAATACCTACCGACATAAAATCGACAAGTAGTTATTAAAACCATGCGTTGTCAAGACAGTGTCTATATACCAGCGGTTCTTAAACTTTTGGTGCACACGGATGAAAGACTTGAAGACTTTAGAAATCGCGGACCTACCAATACCTTTTTATTTTTTACAAAATATCTCATATTATCATAATCAATATTTACCGATAGAACCTGCCGCGGATCCCCGATATGAATATCGTGGACTTCCGGGGGATCGTGGACCACAGTTTAAGAACCGCTGGTCTATACCGTAAACTAAAATCACTATAGACTGTAGTGTCTGTAATCGTTACATTTCAAGAGGTTATCATTATAACTAGAGAATAATCCGGTGTCCAAATTTGCTATTTTAAACGTTTTGGCTGCTGTTACCGATTATCGCATATACCTATAGTATAGATATAGGTCCTATACCTATAATTACAATATTCAATTTTGAAACTATTAAGTACAACATTATTACGTTTACAGATAATCTGTAAATACTAGTTAAAACAGTGCGTATAATCATGACTGTATAACAGGGTCTTACCAAACTTAAATTTTTCACCATGAAATACACATTTTAGATTCTGAGTGGTTCACTCCAGCTTATGGTTTTACAAAGATGTTTAATTTATATTATTTTTTTCTGTGCGCAACTTTTCTACCAGAAAAGTTGCTTAGATTTCTACGTGTAGCATATTTTCTTAAAGGAAATTGGCGTGAAAATGTACTTTAAGTATGCGAAAAACCGAAAAAAACTGGAAAATTTACGAAAAATAAAAAATATAATTTACGATTTTTTTTTCTGTGGACAACTTTTTAACAGCAGTTCTACTCCAATTTTTAATCAAAGCGATGTTTCTAAAAGAAAATTTCACTAAATTTAGTTTAGGTAGGTACTTTAGAGAGGTTATTTTTCGATTTTCTCAGCAAATGTGGAAAACCAGGATGAAACACGGGAAGACGTAGACAAATTGGGAGAATCGGTATAACATTAAACAAATTTTATTAGAGAAAATGTATAAATCTTATTTGACTATTTTACTATAAAATGACATATACATTGTAGACAAAGCATCATTATCAACTTAATTCCGTTCAGAATCGTTTTTTCGTAAGTAATGGTTTATCGTTGCTTACAGATATACATTCCCGTCTATATCCTACCTTTCCAACTTCCCACCTACATCGGTGGCTGCACTCGTCCCCACTATCTTATCTTTTTTTATTTTGTGTTTTATTTTTGTATCTAAAATTAAATTTTCGTTCAGTTGACAAATTTTTCCTATAGAAAGTTTAAACCACATAAGAAAGATAGGAAATTCTAAAAAAGGTACATGATGTCATAGCACACTAAGATACTCCCAAGACAATTATGAATTGGAACACCACAGCTACTTACATTAATATTTTTGTAATCTAACCGGTTCGCTTGATCGATTCAAACCGTTTCGACGCTTGTTGTCAACTTAAATCACGATATGAATATTGGTATAGGTGATATCACAATATTGGTATTCACCTATATTGTGAATGTTTTGTGTGTTTAACGACTATTTTGTAAGATTCGATAGATACAATAGTTATAGCGAAAACGACGCGAGTTTTGTGTGACGTTAATACGTTATCGGTGAATTGTTTTCTCTTGAGTATCCGCCGCGTATTTTTTCGTTTATTCGCATTCTCTCGAACGGCGCTCGTATCGTCCTACATAAAAAATTTGATAATTCATTTTACATACAAAAAAAAAAAAATGTACAAACCCTACTATCATTAGTATATAGATAATAATAACATTTTATAGGTACTTACCTATATACTCGAAACTAAAATATTTGCAATCGCTGCGCGTATATTATATATTACCTACATTATGTATGTTTATTATATTATAATATTTCATTTACAGGTACAATAATTGTCGTCCCACGACTCGTACTGCGCTACAATATTATCACACGAAAAACATGTATACGCGGACCGGTTATTTTCCCGGTCCCTGGCCCGTTCGCCGGCATCGCAGACACGGCTCGTTCGAATTCGCACGTTTCCGGGTTTCCGGTCCGGTTTTATATTTTGCCAATCCTGATTACTGGGCAATACCGGTTGGCCACCTGTAAACCCCGTGTTGTTATAAAAACAACAATGTTATTATTTACGAACAGTAAATTGTGCAACTTGTGCCGATAATGTCGACAAATGGAAATGCATAGCCCCGGTAGATACTTACCTTGTAAATGTACAAAAAAAATATACCTATACTTGTATAATAATTATCATAATATGGCCTGCAGGTAATGAGTGGGTACTGGGTAGCGATGGCATATTATTGCTTTACTATTATTATTATTATTATTATTATTATGAGTGTCTTCTTTATACGTCCTCGTAAACCGAACAATTTCATTTTCCGACGGCGGCGCTGCCGTATGTCGTAATATTATGCATATAAACAACGCGACAAATTTACTCCGGGGCGACAAAATATCGCAAAATCGTTAGGTTTCCAGTAATCGAAACGATTATGTCCAAACCTTGGGCGGTGTGAGCGTAGGGGATTCGTTACAGTGTTGTAAACGTTAGTATAAGATCTATGGTTGTGTCTATAAATGAGAGATAAATAATTATCCGAGGTAAGCAATCGAATAATCTGGACAAATCGATTTGGGTGAATAATTTCAAATAGGAATTTATATTATTATGGTTAAATTAATTAACTATTAAGTTACATCAACCGCACGACTATTTTGTTATCTAGACAGACGTGTACCAAATCTACAGGTAAACTTGTATTTAAAAGTAAGAGACATAATTTACGCCTCCTACTTTTAGGCGTTTTTTAGCATCATCACACAGTTTTGTGATATGAAATTAACGAAATCATCTTTTAAATTCATCCATTGTTAATATTATTATTATTATTATAGCAATAATCGTCCGATCTTCATCTGGACGTTTAAATTAAATGTATATTTATAAAAACGCTGAGTGTAAATGACGT